TGCTAATAACAGTGTAGAGTAGTAATTTTATGAGATGTTTTGATTATAAAACCAGCTGTATAACCGCCGGCTAACTATCCATCATTAAAAAAAAATACCCGAGACGGGTCCGGTCCTAAATTATCATACGAACTCAAGTAAATGTAATCCTAGTTGCGATTAGTGAAACAGTTAACAAATTTTGACATCATTAGATTGTAATTGCAATAAATAAAATATCAGAATTAAACCTCCGTATGTTAATAAAACATGAAAGTAGATGACATTGTTATTGTTTATTAAGTCTAAAAAATGGAACTATTGTTCTCCTTCATTTCTTGCATTGCTTTCGTGTACCTACACCTACGTAAGTTTTTTCACTCCCTTTTTATTAGCACACCAGTCGTTAATCCGCACATTCCGCTTTCTTGAAATACTGAAATCTCCACGGTGCATAAAAAAAATTCAAATTAGCGCATGCTTCAAGCCTAAACAGTAATTCCAAACAATTATCCACAAAAACGCAATAACTCGAGCCTTGCAAAAACCAAACAATAAATTGCGTGACAAAAATCGTTAAAATAAATTGGCATAATCAGCAACACTCGCAAAAATAACCTTTCCCGAGTCATGTTCTGAGATCATAAATGGTTTGCGGCTCACAAGAAAATGTAAAGAATTCCCAATGACTGGTTTTGTAACAATGAATGATGGCCATTCATTATTCATACGAGGCTGCAGCTAATACGTTATTAGAATTACTGCATTGAAGAAGTTGCCAGGTGAGCTTTTATCAACATTCTTCCAGAGAGAAGTGCAAATTTCTATTGTTATTTTTCCACTCGGAAAGCTCTGCAAGGATGGGAGAAAGTCAGGATATGGCCAATAAATGGCATTTACAATAAAACAATCGTATCTGTAGCATCAGACGTTCTTTTTGATTATTTATCAAGGACACGCTATTGGACGCTTTAAGGACCCGAATTGTTTGGCGAAGAAAGTTAATTAAAAAGCGTTCTACTATCACCGATGCCATATTTAGAGGAATGTCGCTTTGCATAATAATTACGGAGAAAAAATTACGAACTTGACTTAAGGTAACGGCTTGTGACACTTTTTTCGTGAGACGGAACGATGGCTACGTAACGCGCTGACGTAGCATAAGCGCAAAGTGAGGCGTCACATTTTATCGTTTCACGCTTCTGCACTTGCAATAATGCCGCCGCAAATGACCACAGTTGAATGAGCACTTGACGTAAGAACGCAACGTAATTTTTTTAAGGGGTTTCATTCATTTGCTACGCGTACGAGAAACTAGTCGGTTTTGTAAGAATTTTCGACTTTGTTGCCTAAAAAGGAAAAGTATGAAGTATTTCGTTTAGTTACGTTAATTGGTGGATAATTGGTAAATTTGGTGTTTAGCGTTTTTTTTGTTTGAAATTTTTGATTTGGAGCTGGCAGAAAAGCTTGATTTTAGATCCGGTTCTACGATCTGGAACAGGTTGATTCTTCTATTTATTGCTTTGAGAACCTGTTCGACGTCTAATTATTGCAAATGAAGCATTCGTTTTCGGGGCTTTGTGGCTTGAAAAATGTTGATTTGTTTTGAAAAAATTGAGCTCTGTGAAAAAAAAGTAATTTTTCTAGTTTTTTTGTTGGCTGACTTATACATAGGAAGAGAATGAAATAAATTATTCAAAAAAGCTAACGACATATTTCGAAAAACCTAAATAAATAAATAATAGATAAAATACTGCTGCTGATAAGGAGTCTTTGTTGGGGTTATGGCGTCATTCTTGAATTTCTCAGAATGGAATTGTGGTTTCGGTTAGTATTTATAAACAAAAAAAAAAGAAGATTGTGTTATTTACGAAGTTTGGCAAGATTTCTTATTATGGCAGGTTTTCTACTCAGGTAGGTACATATTTTTTATTGACACTTGTGGCATTCTTGATCTCACCAGTCGTCCTTCAATTTTTTCTGGCTTATATCTTTAAGGGACAAGTTCTTTTAAGTGCATTATAGTGCTTTGTTTTTTCACTTTTCAGATTATTGTTGCACTTGCACTTATATAAAATTTTGGTTTGTGATATATGTATTTTGTATTGTGGAGACCCCGGTTTTGAGATATTTCCCTTCATCAGTCATCTTGCCTAAACTATGCCATTTGTAGCTCCGCTTAAATTATAATTGTGAAATTTTGTGTTGAAACCATTTTGATGAATATCCAGTTTAACGAGTTCGTAATGTTTAAGTTTGTAGAAGACGAAAAATAAACACGGCTTTTTCGGTTCCGCCCTGGGTACAAGCACCAAGGGGTGACAACAACAAATCACTTGCACAGCCAGAGAATACTTACAGAAGAATCACTCTGCAAAAACATAAAAAAAAATCGGGTCGGCAGACAGACGGACGAACGGACGGACAGACAGACAGACAGACGGAAACGGGAGACCCATTTCTTCGTACTCTAGAGGTCATGAAAGGTCGAAGAAATGTAAAAGTAGGGAGTCGGCCGATGGACTTTATTACAATACTTCCTTTGCTTACGCTTGGGAAGTAATCATAATATCTTGATAGATTTTACGAAGAATTAGACCGTCGTTATAGGGCAATGAATGATATTCTCGTACCATTTAATGCTGTTCAAACTAAAGGTCGATTTATAAATTTGTCGCTGACGTTGCTATTCTCCGTTGACGTTGCCGTTGTAAGATAAATAAGCAGAGAAGGTATGCGTCGTTTATATCATCCGTTGACGTTGCGGTTGACAGTTGGCACGCCGTTGGGGTGACATTCCAGATGACCAACTTTTATCTTTCGCCGTTATATTGCCTTTGACGTTGGGTTTTCAACAAATCAAATTGCGGTAGTGTACAGTGCTGCTAACTTGAAGGAAAATCCCCTGAAGTAGGGGCACATTTTTCTGGTTGACACCACTAATTCCACGAAAATCAAATTTTGATTAGAGATAATGAGGTCCACTAATATTAAGCTATTTAATCACGTGCTCACCGAAACCCTCATATTTTAAATAGCTGCCATCATTTTCTACACTGCACCTTCCTGTCAGTACTTATGCATTGTTAAAGATAATTAATTCTCGACGTTTAAATCAACAAGATTCGTCTCAAAAACAGTTTAGGTTTCTTACTATGTGTAGTCTTCTTTTCACAACAAGAAAGGTAAAGCATGTCTAAAATGGTAAATTTCTGTAGGAAAGTATCGATTTTGCAATTACGCTCCGCCCCTCAGTCTGACAACGAATGAAAAATTCATCACGGTTGAGATCGAGACGGATGGGTGGTCTTCTCTTTTGGTTTTCTTTTTTAATTAAGTAATACATTTAGTTTTCTTTGTACAACACGATTACTTAAGAACATATTTCACATGGTTATTTAGAAAAATAAGGATTTTACAATTAACCTCCGCACCTCGGCTTGGGACGAATAAAAAAAAATCATCAGTACTGACATAGGGCGGATGGGCGGGGTTTACATTTTGCCTTTTTTTTTTTTCTTAATATACAATAATATACATAGCCATCTTTTCACAACAAGAAACTTAGAAGATGGTTAAAATTGTACATTTTTGCAAGGAAATATAGATTTTGCAATTATAGGGCGGCGCGGCGGCGCCTGTTTGCTAAATCGATATTTACTTATACAAATTTTCCATTTTAAACATGTTTAAAGTTTCATGTAAAGAAATAAGTATTTTGCACTTAAGGTGAGTCCCCTTGGTTCAGGGCAAATGAAAATATCATCACAATTGAGATAGGGCGAGTGGGCGGGGCTTATATTTTGCCTTTTGTCTTAATATATGTAGTTGTCTTTTCAGAACAAGAAACTTAAAACATGTTTAAAATGTTCTTGTCGACAAATATCGATCTTGCAATTAAGCCCCACCCCTCGATCTGACAACAAATGAAAAATTCATCACAATTGAGAATTAAGATCGGGGCGGGTATGGGTGGGGCCTAATCTTCGGCTTTATTTTTTTTCTTAATATACATAGTATTCTTTGAACACCACGATACTCAAAAATATGGTTTTAATTTCTCGTTGAGAAATAAAGATTTTGCAGTTAACCTCACTTGGCTCACGACGAATAAAAAAAAAATCACAATTAAGAGAGGACGGGTGGGCGGAGCTACATGTTGTCTTTTTTTCTAAGCATGTGTAGACTTATTTCGACAACAAGAAACTTAAAACATGTCTAAAATGGTAAATTTTTGTAGTAATCAACTTAAATCCTCCACTTTTCTTCTACAACTCCTTTAAATACAGCAAAAGTTGAACATCAAAGTTACTGCAAACGCCAACTTGGAAACGGAGTTTATAAACGACAATTTTCAGCTCTAAAAGCATCGTCAGCGGGAACAGCAACTGTAAGTTTATAAATCCCGCTGGCAACGTCATCAAAAAAGATGTTCTTGGAGTAGTTCCAAATCTGACAAAAACTTAAAATGAATTTTCTGCAGATGACATAATTTTGGGAATTTTGCGACTGAGGCGCCACTTGGAAGCCGCCAGTATTTCTTCCCAAGAAGCGGTTCAGTGGACTACATTGGAGCTTTTCAGATTCATCGTAAAGAAGCTAGGCCTATTCTAGCGCTTTGTCTAAGATAAAATTAAAGAGTAAATTCGAAAAGTTAAAAAGAATTTAAACAGATACCTATTTGAAAACACAGCGTATAGATCTTAAAACTTCGCCAAGCGTGTATATGAAAATGTAAAAATAAAAAGCAAAATATTTCAAAAAAATAGCGTCATTGCATATTCCGTTTTGTACCAAAACAGGGCAATTAACAATAAAGTTTTGCATATACATTTAAAAATAAGTATATACCTAGATGTCACATGAAATCTCCTTTAAAAAACACTCTTTAGAAAAAAATCTGATAAAAGAGTTACAAAGATATAATATTCGATTTTGTTTGTTTAGATTGTTGACATCAGAAATGTCTAAAATGTCAAAAACATATAAAGATTTCAAGTAAAGTCGCGATCTTTTCTATAGAACCACTCCCTAGTGTAAATTTTCAAAATTTGTTTGGTGTAAGTGACCTTGACGGGTTTCTGGGGGAAAACATATGTGTCAAAAATTTGACAGGTTAGATGGCCCCATTGTCAGTGTAGAAATTTTATTTTAATAAATAGATGAACAGAACATACAGTCTGCACGGGACACAGTGCAACAAATTGAAGGCATAGCTGAGGGCAACCGAAATATTCGTATTGTGCTAGTTTCGATCACGTTTCAATCGCCATGTCAACCCGGAAACGCATTTAGAGCAATAGTTTTGAATCATTTTGCCATGTGTTTGCAAGGTGCCAGCATTATCTAGTTCTGAGTATTGTTGCTGCTTTAATTTAACGCCATGAAGTGTTGTGCTGTGCCGTTTTGTTACAATAAGAAGAAACAACGCAAAGAAAATGTACAGTTTTTCAGGTTAGTTTTCAACAAACAAGATGTTTTTTTACCACTAATTTGTATTTTATGTTCTTCAGAATAACACATATGCGACAGGAGTCGTGGTTGAAAGCATTGAAAAAGAATTCCCAAGATACACTGTATAGAGATGCTAGTATTTGCTCTGATCTTTTTTGCTAGATGGTTTTGTATGTATCAATGGTAAACATAACAAACTCTCAAGGTTGGAGCTATTCCAACCGTTAGATTGAGACCCTGCCCAATGAAGAACTTGTTTTTACACAGTGATAAGTAATTAAATTAAAAGGTTACATATGTTTTTAAACCCATATAATATATAAATTTGTGCAGATCTTCGTCATTGAAGTTTAGTATCCTACATAGTTCAAGTGAACAGTGTTTATTAACAGAAAGATGATGAAGTCACAAACATTGCAACTGAAATAAGGTAAATGCATGATGAAGTTTAAGAATAAATTGTAGACATACAGCATAAGGATAATTAGCTTTACAATAATACAACATATTTCTAGATATAGTTGAAGAATTCTTAAAATTTCCAATATTTAAACATTTGAGATATTATTAATTACCTAACAAAATTCATTTTTAGCGTGTGTGTGTGAATAAGAAAATAATAAGTCAATCTTTTAATAAAACAAAAACATTTACATGATTTGCAGTGTTTATGTAATTTCTAGGAAAGCTGACAGTGATTATGGAATTGAACACGTTTCTGAAGTAAGGCCTCATCCATCAACAACAGATAGTGAAGGGTTAACAGGTACTCACAAAAAAAGAAGAAAACTAATGCATATGGACCACAAGTACAGGTAGGTAATCAAAATAAATATTTTGTGTACAATAACTTCTTTCCATTTCTTTTAGTTTATCACCTAGAAAGTTAAAATCACCTAAAAAGTCAAAAGTGTTAGTTTCTAAACTACATAGCCATTGGAAAATTGAAAAAGCTCGAATGTGGAGGCTTAGAAGAAAAGTCAAAAATTTAAAAGATGATTTAAAGTTTCTACATGGTCTGTTTTAGGTACTGCAGACTGTTCTTCCCTGTTGGAGAGATTTAGTTCATAGTGTTCATTGGGTAGTATATGTAGTCATACAATAATATATTTAGGCTTTCATTAAACAAATTATGGCCTTTTTCACCAGACTTTTAAGATTGACAAACACATATGGCGGGGAGATGGAGCTTTTTGGAACATTAAGGAATTCATTTAAGAAAAACCTTAGTGAATTAAATCTATTGTAATTATTGTTATTTTGTTATTTAATTAGCATTATAGTTTTGAATTAAATTTTTCTCTAAAGGGGTTATCCCGTAAATAAATAAGCTGGAAGTGTATGAGTCATCACCAGTACGTGGGATTCTATCTCACCGCTGAAATCCCCTAGTTGAAGGAAGGTGTGTTTTACGGAGAGTAGCGGGGATGCTTTGATCTGGTCCACAAGGTCGTAGCCAGTGCATCGCTAGGAGTGTTTACAGCTAGTAAAAAAATTGGTCTAAAGAGTTTAGACAGTACTTCCCTCGCTGTCGGAAACTTGACGACTGCATGCCTATTGTGTTTTTTTTCTCATTACATTTTTGTAGTGGGAATTTAAAAAAAAATTGCGATGACGTCATCAACATTTTTGCAAGGACACGTATATCAGTTGGGATAGATGTAGTGTAATACTAAGAATAAAATTATTATATTCTCAAATTTTCGGAAAAATGAATTGGGTCATTTGAATATTGATTTGTAATAATCAATAAAATAACGAAACAATTTACTCACGTATACCTACGTATCAGAGGCAACTGAAAATCGTGTATGTATAAACATTGTTAATTTAAGATGACAGGCGTAACAGCATACGTGAGAGCCAAACACAGAAACTGTAAACAAAACGACCGTCGGTTTTTATATTGCTTCGACTTCCGCTTATTATATAAAACATTGGGTTTTATTTTAATTCTTGGCGGTGAAATTCACAATTGGTTGATTATAAACATGTCTATTTCACATTCGCGGAATCAAGTGAACGCATAAAACAAATGCAGGTCTGTAATGTTAAAGTCGATGTAAATAAGCGTGCTACCCTATGTTTCAACCGAGTTTTTCCTTTAACAAATTTTGTGTCTACCAAATTGGGTTGGTTGGGGTGTAATACTAATAATAAGTGTTGCCTTTAATTTAATCAATAAAATAAATTGACTTCATTAATTTTTTTGAACCACCTCTTAAGAAAATCTAAAAAATATGAATGGAATGATAAATCACAAGTACAAACTCATCATATTTTTTGGATTTTAGATAGGATTTATTCAGCAAAATTTAAGGGTGACGTCATCAATTTTTTTAGGAGGGATGAACAAATACATTTTGAACAAAAGTTTACCATGCTTATAATAACTTTAAAATATTCCCAAGATTTCAAAGCATTCGGTTTTGTAATTCCTGATTAAATCGATAAAATAAATTCACGCCTTCATTAATTTTTTTGAGTCACCCTGCATATGCAAATCCAAAAATATGAATGGAATGATAAATCACAAGTACAGACTCATCATATTTTGTACATTTTAGATACGATTTATTCGGCAAACTTTTGAGCTGACGTCATCAGTTTTTTGTAGAAGATAACCAAATATATTTTGACTAAAAATTTATTATGCTCTTTATAACCTTAAAACATCTGCAAGATTTCAAAGCATTCGGTTTTGTAGTTCCTGATTAAATCAATAAAATAAATTTACGCATTCATTAATTTTTTTGAGTCACTCTGTATATGCAAATCCAAAAAATATGAATGGAGTGATAAATGACAAGTACAGGCTCATCATATTTTGTACATTTTAGATATGATTTATTCGGCAAACTTTCGAGCTGACGTCATCAAGTTTTTGGAGGGGATAAGCAAATATATTTTGACTAAACATTTATTATGCTCTTTATGACCTTAAAACATCTGCAAGATTTCAGAGCATTCGGTTTTGTAGTTCCTGATTAAATCAATAAAATATATTTACGCATTCATTAATTTTTTTGAGTCACCCTGTATATGCAAATCCAAAAAATATTAATGGAGTGATAGTTCACAAGTACAGACTCATCATATTTTGTACATTTTAGATATGATTTATTCCACAAACTTTTGAGCTGACGTCATCAAGTTTTTGGAGGGGATAAGCAAATATTTTTTGACTAAAGATTTATGATGCTCTTTATAGCCTTAAAACATCTGCAACATTTCAAAGCATTCTGGTTAGCAGATTAAAAATTAAATTTCAAAATGTTGTTTTATAATTTTGATTTTTTTTCCAAAAATCTGGACGTTTCGAGTGAAAAGTCGATTCAGAGTTGTAAACTACATGTGTAGGACTATGTTATTTTATACAATTGAAAACCCATTTACTATGTACAATTTTGAAGTGACGTCATCGCTTTAGTGGTGGGGATGATTCGACAAATTTTGGTTAGCGTTTTACCATCTACATGATATTCTTAATATAAGTACAAAATTTCACAACAATCGGTCGAGTACTTTCGGAGATTATCTGTCTAATAAAAATCCGTGACAACAGACGGACAGACGGACAGACGGACAGACGGACGGACAGACGGACAGACGGACAGACAGACGGAAATGGGAGACCTATTTCTTCGTCTTCTAGGGGTCATGAAAGATCGAGAAAACGTAAAAGTAGAGAGTCGGCCGACGGACTCGATTACAATACTTCCTTTGCTTACGCTCGGGAAGTAAAAACTACTTCTATATTACTACATTACTTCAAATAATAATACTTGCTGCCCTTCTTAATTTTCCAACCACAGGACCACAAATTTGTGATCTTGAAATGCTATATTAGTCCAAAAGAAAAATACTACACTTAGAAACTCAATATTCACAATAATAATAATATATGATTTATTTCCAAAACATTCACCTATAAATGAAACACCAAACAATAATATATTAATCAAACTTAAAAAAAACTTCTAAATATAGATGTATATAAACCGTATAGGATGTACCTTAAGTAAATAATGACAGTAACTAATTCTGCACACTGGCAGTTCAGAAATCAGTATAAAAAATGAGGAGTACACTAGAAGCAATACTATTATAAATTAGGAAACACGTTATGATAGGACTATTAAAATAGTGATATGTATTGGGATATTGGGAATATCAAAATAAAAAGTAATTATTTGTCTACTAGTTATTCAAGGAACACCAATATTATTTAATCTGGTCTAAGAGTGTTGTAGACCAATGATTGAAAACACAATAATATTTATTAAACAAAAGATTACAGATTGTTAGAAAAGATTCCTGTTTTAAATTTCAAATGTCCACGGAAAAAAAAGCATGGTTAATCAACAAGTTCTACTGTGAGAATTTCTGCCGTACTACAACTTTCAGACCCTTGCACTTCACACTCATTGCTTAATTGTACTTCAAATATTTCCATTCGTTCATCCTCACTAGATTCATCCATCCTTTCATTCTGATCATTGTCTTGTACTATTTCTATTGCAGATTCCGATGTAAAACTTGCAATTGATTCTTCATCAGAATCTGCAAGTGATATAATTATGGGTGGAATATCTCGCACACTTTCATTTCCCATTAATCGCTTCCAATCATCCCTAATCAATCGTTCACAATGATTCACACTGTTCATCCACATTTCAGGAGTGTACTTTGATAGTGCTTCATGCCACAAATCAGGTACTTTCGATTTCGTGGAAGGCTGCGCTAGAATGTGCTTGTTAAAATATGTCTTGCAGAACCCCCAAACCATTTCAATCGGATTGTACTGACAATGGTAAGGGGGTAGTCTCAACACTTCTATGCCATTTTTAGACAGCAGTTCATCGATTACATATTTTTTGCAGGAAGGAAGGTGAGGTTTAACTATTTCAAATAGTTGTTTTTTTGTCAAGTTATTACCAAAGGGAATTTTGTTTTTATGGAGCCAATCTTCTAATTTTGCTTTTTTCCAAGAGAACTTTGGACTATCTTCAGCGTGCATCGAGTGATACGGAGCATTATCCATGACTACCACCACTTTACCACTAATCAATGCAACACTCGGAATTAATTGTTCAATAGTCCATTTCTTAAATACCTCACCCGTCATGGTTTTATGGTAATCCCTGCTATCGATATTGCTGTCCAAAAACAATTCGCAGTCTTCTAGGAAACCGAAATTCCCACCAGCATGAAGCACTGTAAAACGCTTTCCTTCACTCATGCACACTTTCTCAGGCATTCCTCTTCTGTCACTCTCAAGCACCCACCTTCTCACAGGAGAACCATTTTGGTTAAGCCACGTCTCATCCAAAAAAACAAAACTTACATTTTCTTCGGCTAACTGTAAATATCTTCGTAAAAATTTTAATTTTAATGACTGAAGCCGTGGACTTTCGATTATAATTTTGCGATTATTTACTTTTTTGTATTTATATCCCATTGAACGTAATATTCTTTTAAGAGTGCTAAGACTTGCAGTGAATTCTAAGTTTGTGGTAGCAAATTTGAACATGTCCGTTGCAGTAAAATATTCGTTTCTCCTATTTCTCGCGTATATTTCTTGGCTTAGCTCCTCTTGAAATACGCAATCAGAAAAGAAAGCACATTTCTTTTTTCTGCCGGTTAAGGCATTTTCTGGTGGGACTCCGGATCGGTCTTGCCGTATTAATTTACGGATTTGGGTTCGGGAACACTACAAAGGAGGAGGAAGGAGATTAATACAAAGTAGTGGGTGAGAAGTAAGTGACACAGGGCGTATAAAAGTAGTGTGAAGTGGATTTTGTCGTGTTTGAATTGAAAAAAACTCTTAAAATGCAACTACTCTACCGAAAATATGTTCCCAACTTTTGTTTCCAGTTCTCTTCTGGAAGCTGTGGGACACAGACTTTCGATTTCCCGGTAACATCTTATTGCCGCAGTCTTTAATTTTTGCGATAACAATGTCCTCCGTGGCTTTTCTTGATTATCCATTTTGCTTTTTTCGTAGAAACGTAAAATGCTTTAAATAGAACCGCTGTGAGTTAAAGCGTGGTTAAAGCGCTTGTCAACATGCGCCGTGCGTCAAACGTTGGTTAAACGTCAACGCGCTACCAACCGCGTTCGGCGTAAAGTACTAGGAGACAGGGCTACCAACTTGACTTTTTATCGAGTGGTTCCGTAGAAATGACCGTTACTGTATAAAAAATTAAATAAAAGTATTACAGAGCTTTTTGCCGTCACATCGACTTCGACATAATTTACTTCATTTCCTTGTGACTTGGAGACTCCAAGCGATAGAGTTCTTGAAATTTTATTGTATATAATTAAAAGCAATAATTTTTTTTGTAATCGTCTTTGTAAGAATTTTGAACTGATATCTGGAACAATAAATGAATAATCATAAATAACTGAGAAAAGAACAGGTCTCATTCTTATGGAAAAATCTTATGATAAAACTTTACAAGGTCGACAGGATAAACGGCTCTGTGAATTCCACTGCTTCTGAATACACCACATCTTGCTCGATACGCGAGATAATCTGACAACGTTGTCAAATATTTTATTGAAACGAATAAAAAACATTGACTTGAACTTCTGTTTGTAACTGAAAACAACTTAACTGAAAACTGATTATTGTGCAAGATCAAAGAACTATAGACAGCAATTAGTAGCGGTTATAGAAGAAATGAAAGAACAAATCAAAAATAAAACAGTCAAATGGTCAAGGGAATAAAAGCTTCACGAAAAACAGGAGCAAATAGAGGACAAACAGAGATAAAGAAATCAAACGAAAGTAAACAAGAAGAACACGAATAAAAGTAACACATTTCTACAAAATCAAAACTGTAGAAACGGCAGCCCAATACCAATAACTTTTGTTTTGATTTATCCGAATGCCGACCAAATTTCACTATTTTATTCATTTTTGTATGACCAACAAAATGTTTCGTTTACTCATTCATTTTACCCTAGCTTAATTGATTCAAAAATAAGTTACAAAAACTGCAAAAGAAGTCAAGATAGGCGTATATGTATGGAAAGTTTTGTAACTGAATGGGCTACGCTGTTCACAAATAAGAATATTTTTTTAAATCCAAATTTTAACGAAACATTATACGCCGTGCAATCTTTTTGCCATTTTTAACTATTTATGTTAATGGTTGACGAAGAATGTGGAAGTGTAAAGCAATTTGTATTATTATTATGATCTATATTTTCCCGGCTTCAACTTTTGACTGATTTACAGCGAATATTATTTAGGCCAATACTGCTCGAACAACCTGCCTGGTAAAGATCCCCTACAATTAGTGACAGAAGATCTGTTACGCTCTTGTTGGGGGTTTGGCGACTGCTAAGCTTTAGCCGAGACTCCGTAATTTATGATTTTATGAAATCTGGGCTTACGCTTTTTAAATTGCAAACGCTTATAAGTATAAAAAAATGTGTGCAAATAATACATAAATACAATTTGGTAGAAATGTATTATTGACAAAACTACAAAAGTGTAAGTTTTAATAATTGTTAAGTGGCACAATTTGTTTGAATGAATCATCCTAATACTCTTCCCACTCATTACCAAGTTTCAGTTCACATAGGTGATCATGGTAGCAAGCGTAAGAGATAAAATTTAGAGAAAGTACGACATCTTTATTTTAGTACATGATTGTGTTCAGTGTTTTCCAGTTACGTTCTAAGCCGGATTTTATGATTTCATATTATATCATGGACATAGACCATTTCAAATATTATATTATTAAAAACAAGATGTCGTGTTCTAGGGGCTTTGGTCTAACAGTTTTGCTATTGTTGGCATAAATTTGACAGATATAGCAACTAATCAAAGATATTAAAATACTCGTGCTGCTTAAAACTGTGCGACTTCTGATCATAACGTCATTAAATCATAAGAAAAATAAAACCGGACCTAACCCACCTCCCTGTGACAACATCTGAATCATACAACCCGCCGCTCTCCCACTAATTAGATAAATAATTAAATAAACAAGCAGATCAATTAAGATTTAAAATTTACCGCACGCCAACAGATGGCCCACCATTCACCTAAACAAAAACCCGACTCACCTAACAGCTGCGCAATAATGCAAGCTCTCGATCGGAAAAAATCTCGTAATCTTCTTATGGTTCTCGTCGACGTTTTCCAGCAGGATCCCGTTAGACCACACACTCAACCAGCTGTCAATACCGCGGGCGCCTGTGGCTCCCTGGTCGGGGTAGAGTTCCTGCAGGGGTTCCTGGATGCCTTGCAGCCCATCTTTGGTCTGCTGGGGCACAGAGCTGCCCAGGTACAGAACCCGGCAGCGGCAAATGGGTGTGGACTCCGTCATCTCGGAGGCCCCCTGAAACCGCGATAGGAATGGTAATGATGACATTGCGGTGTACTTGATGGTAAACAGACGCTAATCGAACATTAATAGAAATGATCGAGGAGTTGCGTCAGCGCGAAGAACAAGTGACTGAGGATTTTTTGTCACGGTAGTGAATTAAACAGATTTTTGTAAACTTTTTGAGGGCGTCGTAGAATAGTATAAATTTACATATACTTATTCAGTGAAAGAGAGATTAAATCGAATCGGTTTGTTATTAACTTTTTGTGTAAAATTTGGCAATAAGAGTAAACAGAATAGAGAGGTAACTTTTTTTGTCACTTTCGCAAATTTTTGTCATAAATATTTATTTAGTAGACAAATTTATTGAATAAAAATAAATTTACCAAGAAATATGGAAATTATATTGCGGAGAAAGTGAATTATTATATACCTATAGACGCAAAAAGTAATGTACCAAATTTAAAACAGCTGCCCACAATACTCTTTGAAACATTACAAGTGAAAATAAGCAATGTATTTAATTGAAGTGCGAAAAATATCCTAAATCAATATCCGTTTTGGTCTTAGACGATGAAACAAGGGTAAGAGTAAACAAATCTGTAAAACCCTGCTTAGAATTTAGCAATCGTCGGTGACACATTTTCTGATTATTTTCCAGTAATACACTCTTTGTGTATAATTTATGTTCTAGAATTTTTTTCAACCTAGAGTGAACACTTGCGTTATCCATTACAATACACTATTGTAGTAACTTTGGAATAAGTTTTCGTCCAAACGATTTTACAAAGACGTTCGTGGTCATAATATGATCATCAATTTTTGTGTAACGGATATTTTTTTAACTGTGAAAATAAATGAATGAGTGTTTCATTGTGTGACCAACGGTTGTAATATGATTATTCTGTAACCTTGGTAATTGGTAGATAATTCTATGAATGTATTACAAATACCGAGAATCATCAGTTCAACCCTTTTTTATCGTATTATGAGTATCGTTTGAAATCTTGTCAAATAAAAAAGTTCCTGTAGTCAAATAGAATTTGTGAACATCGTGTATGGTGGAAATACTTTTGTGTTAAAATGTTCGTAAATAATTCTTATCTTATGGTCTTGACGTTTTTTATTGAAAAACTTATCATTTTCTAGACTATTGAATAGGAAATTTTTATCGGTTTTCAACATCTACAAGCCATTTCTATACATTTTTTATAACCGACTTTATTTCCTGTGATATTTAGATGTCAATTCCACTTTTTAACTGATCTTAATTTACAACAGAAGTACTATAACACTATTGACAATATTATCCAATCGACTGACAATAAATAGTCTATGACATTTTCATCCATTCACATCATTTCACACTACATAATATTGCGCAGAAATATTTCTAATACTAAAGGCTAACTGTAGTATATATCGTTTTATTTAACACAGATATAAACGAACTATGGTAAATGGCAATGGTAAGAACAATTGTTTCTTTTGAAATTCGGAAAGTTGTAAAAAAAAAACGTTACTTCTGAGGTAAAAGCTTGACATTTTTCTGATTAATTTGTGAATATTAAAATTATGACTTTATATTCCAATCCTATTCGAATTTCACAATTCATTACATTTTTTATACAAAGTAGCAACAACTGAGTTTTAATTTGTTGTTGAATTGAAATGACCTAAATCGATATCGCAACGTAGCGTCGCTGTTGTTGTGCGTGGTTAAAAGCGTTCAGTTCGACGTAGGTTATCTTTGGTATTTTGGTAGTAATAAACCTTATAACTGTAACAATAAATTTTTGCCAAATAATACTCCTATTTGAAAACATTTTTAAACTCAGTGAAAAAATTCTGTTTGATGTGTTCTTTTTAACAACACCTTACACTTGTAGTTTATTAATTTTGAGTTATTAATATTTTTAAAAGTGGTTATTGAAATTGCTAACGATTAAAAAACGCATTAAGTTGGCTTATGAACGAAACCTACAAAATTTCTTTTGGGAAATCCTAATTTAACTTTTATTAAATATCTAAACGAATGAACTACGAAAGAAGTCGTCATAGCCCTTTATTAGTTAAATGGAGGCATAAAAATTTATTACAACATTTTTTTTTATTTCAATGACCGTTTAGATTGAACATATCAAGAATAGGAAACAAACTGAAAAAATGTTTACGAAAAAATAATTAAAGTTGGCTTTGAAGGACAAAGACATAACTATGTATTATTTATTTAAAAATGGTTGCCGTTGTAGATGGCTGTGAAAGTTCCAAATAAAGTTGGCAGTACATCAAGTATAGTAATTTTGAAATTCTTTGTTGGCATTGCAATTGTCTTGTCAGAATCGCGTGAGACAGTTTGTCGTTGTTATTACGAACTTCTAACTTGTTGTTTCTTTTAAATCATAACCTCAAACTAATAAAATTGACATTTAGTTACTTTTTTGAAACTGAATCTAAAGGTGGGTGTGCAAAAGCGTTGTCTACTGCGTCGACAACAATTATGAAATATTATATATTTAAAAAGTAACAAAATTAAAGTGAATATTAATGCTTGTGATTTTTTTGTCAGGTCGGCAGCATATTTAAAATTTTATACTGGCATAACTGATTATTTTTATATAAAAATTGTCATTGTAAGTATTTCAAAATTGTTAACGATGCCATATTTAAAGATGGAAGTCGGAATTTTGCCCAAAACTTTTAGTTACGCGTCTGGAAAAAGGAATAAAAAAACTAAGACTATTTTAACTTGTTTATACAAGGTGACTAATTTGCAAATTTAATTCTTTCATATTACTCTAAAGAACCACTCTGTATTTTGTAATATGCTACAGTTTACTTTTAAATAAGGTTTCTTTTGGTATCAAACTTGTTGAATTTAATCCTAATATTTTTTTTGAAAATAGCTAGAGCAAACCCTGACAAACTTGGTTCAAAAGAAAGCTTACTTACAAAAACAACTTTGAAAATGTCAGAAGATCCATATTAAAAGCATTAAAAAATTGGCAATTACGTGTTTGATAGAAAAAAAAGTGTAAATTCAGTGATTTAGTTCGACTAAACTCCATAAACAACTTTTTTTTGCTAGTCCTTAATAAATGAGAAGAAATCATCCGGCATCATCCTCGAACAGCTTATATATAGGTATAATAAAGTAATTCTAGGTAATTATTATATAGGACCTGACCTGACCTAACCCTTTTTAATGTATAAAAGCAGTAAATTGTATTGATTTATTCATTGCTCATTTATTATGTACCCACACCGAAAGGTTTGGGCAAAAATTCTACCATGTGATCAGAAAGAAGACATAAAGTTAGGAACAATATTTATGAATTTATGATAATCAGAGACCGGCGCATCGGAAGTGATACGTCATCGCGTACCGATTTCCGCCCTGCAAATTTAAATTAACGAAGACCGTTTCCTAGAGATTTTCCGGCGTAAAGCTTGTTCTCTTCGCTGTCAAAATATCTTCAAATGTTGAAAATGATCATTCAACGTCGCTTTACGTTTGGGCGACTGGATTGCAACGTATTTTAACATCTGCAGGGCAGTGATAATTATTTGAAAAAGTGAGCCTGTAAAGGTTGGTAGTAACGAGATGGTGGTCCAGTGGTGTAATCACACGAGAATGGCAATATTTAAAGATTTAGTCCACGTGTAAAATAAAAAAATTATCCACAACTTTAAAAATTATTCAAAATTAACAGAATTTAATAAAAAAAACATATTAGTTATTAATTATTAGCTATTATATTAATTATTCACTACACATTGTACAGAAAAATGTTTTCTCGTTCTGTATATGAGTACTCAGTTAGAAAGGTAGGTATACTTTATGGATAAAAATATTTCGAAAATGTGAATCATGTAATTTTGTACTACTGACTAAACTATACCATCATGTATAAATGAATTTTATCGTTGCTGGCATTTACCCATCAAATGTCTAAGAACTCTTTTGCAGATTTTGCAAATTCGAAATAAATGACAAATTTTGTGTAGGTAATCTTAACTTAATCTTGACCACCAGCCGTCTATAACTCTTTTAACTTATTCCAATTTAGTCAACTGAAGATTATCCAGACATATCATTTTTGCAGCTTAGTATTTTAAGCAGTTTGTTATTCATGATTATTATCTTGACAATTTTTGTACTAATCAGATTATAGTGGCACATGTGGTTTCTATACATATTTAATTAACAAAAAATTTCTTCCTTGAAATATTTCGTACATTCCATCAAACCATCGCCATTTTAATGTCACGTGTTAAAAAATCCACTTCTTTAGCAATAAGCAAGAGTAAACCTCCACTTCCCATTGTATTGTAATCGGCGAAGTTCGTTCACTCTCATTGTATTCTCAGAAAATCCTCAATAATTACCAGCAACCCAAACCCATCGGTCCGGATAAAAACCATTCATCTGAAGTTACAAATCACAAATATGTCATGAATATTTAAGTAATCGTGAAAAACACCCAAACCGGTTTGCCATAATCGGATGGTGTCCGATTTTGTCGTTATTTGCGTCGTTTTTAATCAACGTTACAGTTTTCCAATGGTGTTTTCTGTCTTTTATCTCTGCGATTTTCTTACTTGTTTTCGGTTAGATTATTATTTGCTGACTGTATTTTCCACACCTAGATTCCATACCATCACTTGGTTTTTAAAGGTGGTCGAACTATTCATTCGAAAGATGTGCGTTCGTTTTATTATGCCATTTCAAGTGGAGCACAATTAAGCATTTGTTGAACCATAGTAAAATTTTGAGTAAAAATATCAGCCAGTGTAATAATACTATAATTAACTTTCTAGTTACATATCCATTACATATTTGATAATAATGTTTTCAATTTTTATTATTTTGTTTAGTTGTTTCACGATCAGGGAAATTATAACTAGAATTTGATGAGGACTCTGCTAAATAATTCAGAACTTTCTTTGAAGTATACACAGATTAATGATAAAGAAATAACGCAATGTAAACTAGCTCTGCAGACCAAATTAAATCCTTTTCCAATTGGACGTGACTTTTCGTCAACTTTCTTCGCTCAATATGTTAGACGTTATACTATTACGTTAACTGATTTTTGCCAAAAATAACATACTTTTTCTGATTACATATTTCGAATATAGTAAAAACTAACCAGATTACTACAAGGCTTTTAAAATGTGAAAATATTTGCTGGAACCGGTTGGAACTGTTCTGACATTAGCTCACCAGACATCACGCACCGTGGAAGACCCTTTTTATAATATGTTGATTCTTACAAAAAACTGTTAAAATATCCTAAGAATTCGTTCACTTTCACTGTAGTTTTAGCAAACCCTCCCAGTAATGCAAACCCAGCGATCCAAAAAACCACGAAACATCACAGACAACAATATACCATGAGTCATGAATATTAAAAATGACCATCAAAAATACTCAAACAGGTTCCTGTTTTTAATGTAATGTGTAATAAGTTTTTGACGTTTTAAGAATGTTGGGTAATCGTATTTCTAAAGTTACTCAAAAAAAAACACGAACTAATAAATGTTTATGTTATTATTAGAAGTGGGTTCTTAAAGATATTTTCAAAATATGTATATCCTGCCCTACTGTGGAATGCGTAAAAATCAACAGGAAGGTCAACTTGACCAGCAATTGTTTCGGTTTTTTCATAAATATACCAGGGTCGCACAAGTTTTTTCTTTTTTTTATTTGTAGATATGTATAATATGAGTATTTATTCTATAAAGTTAAATTGCAGCTTTCCAAATATCTTCAGCATTTTTATTTTGATTTTGAAATGTAATGAGAGTAGTTACAAATATTTATACAATTAAGTAGTCTGAGAATTATGAGATTCATTTCGATCAGACACCTGATTAGTTACAACTAATTTAATGAATAATAATAATCATTTATATTAATTATTTTGGTACCATATTGAAACAAAATAGGAGTATAACATTCCTGCAGAGCAATGCTAATAAGTATACACAAGATTTTGGAAAAAATATAAAAGCTGGATTAGATTTTACTTGAAGATTTTACAAATTAACATTTTATTTTTAATTCTAAATAGATAATATTTGCATTTTTTGTTAAGTGTGCACTAGATATTGGCAAACTTTTGCGGTTTTTATGTAGCATAAAAATTTATCTAAATTCTGTAGCTACACTAGAATGCATTAAGAAATATGAAAATATTTGTTTAGGTGTAAGTCAGTTTAAGCAATAAATAAACGTCGTACTACAATTCTTACAAAAAGTATAATGACAGTTTAAAAATGTTGAAAACATGATATGAAATAATTATTATTATAGAACTTACGAAAAAATTTTAAATCAAAAGTAACTGCAGTTTTAAAATAAATGTAACAAAATTCTTATCAACACAATGTACACTTTTGATTATTTACAGATCTATCTATAAACGTAATGACTAATGAATTTAAGAAATAAGGATAAGTTTTTTCGTGAAATTTTACTTTAATTACTTAAATACTCATATTAAGTAGGTATGTAATTATTACTGTTAATAGTTATGCATGGAATTTTTTGTTAATTTGGATATATTTTCATTCATTTTAATATCTATTAGAATGCTTAGTGAACTCTATTATTAAAAAAATATATGGAAATCATGACGAAACTAAAATAATAGCGATTTTTACATTTTTTTAGTACAATACAATAATTACAACTATACTGATCAAGAAGTGTTCAGATTGGAGTGGGCTGTGAAAATATTTTTAGTGTATTTATCAAGTTAGTGTCAAATATTCCAATTACTTAATTATAAATTAGGTTACATATGAATTTTTGACATCTGCAGTATCATTTTCATGACCGTTCGATATAATCTAACATTTTTTTATCAACCGTTACATCTCTTTGAGTACATATCTAGAATTAACTAGGGGATTAAAAGTTAAGAAAATTATTCATTCTGTCTAATTAAGATAAACCTTAAAACTTATACATAAAACAAATGTTCTCCTTTTTTTTTTTGGAACCCCCTATACATTCCATCAAACAATCGCCATTTTTATGTCACGTGTTAAGAAAAAAATCCACTTCTTCAGCAACAAGCAAGAGCAAACCTCCACTTCCCATTGTATTGTAATCGGCGAAGTTCGTTCACTCTCATTGTATTCTCAGAAAATCCTCAATAATTACCAGCAACCCAAGCCTATCAATCCAGAAAAAACTATTCGTCTGACGTCACAAATCACAAATATGCCATGAATATTAAAATAATCGTCAAAAACACCCAAACAGGTTTCCAATAATCGGATCGTGTCCGATTTTGTCGCCATTTACGTCGTTTTTAATCATTGTCACCGTTTTCGAAACCGCGTTTTCTCTTTTTTTATCTTCGCTATTTTCTTTACTTACTTTCGGTCCGATCATTCACCGATTGTGTTTTCCACACCTAGATTCCATAGCGCGCTTCACACACCATCACTGATTTTTTTAGGAACGGTCGATCGCGGGCGGCACTGGAATTTTCACTTGTCACGGACACTTGTCGCGGGGTGGTTCTGGGAAATGGGGTGTTTTTTGCCGACTTGTTGCTCGGTGATTTCAACGACCGCGTATCCACGTAGTCGAACTTGGCAGGTAGGACAGGTAAGGCAGAGAATGTGAACGTGGAAAGTGGGGAGTCAAGGTGAGGACGAGAAGGTAAATTACTTGAAAGAATCGTGTCTTACCCACTCGATATAAGTAGGCGTTTCAGAGTTTCTTTAGGACACAATCTCTGGGTTATTACTGGAGACATTGGTAACACAGAATTATAATTGATTCTGTCTCGCTAACATTTTACTTAGAAAATTCAACAGGCAAAACCTACATCCAAAAAGAAAGAAGAGGTCAACATTTTTTCTAAAAAATTGTTATCAAGTAAAGAAAATAAATACTGAACTATCAAATATTTTACTTTTGAGTTATGGAGTCCCTCTGAGCTCCGTACAGGAACTACTTTTGTTCTAGCCCATGCAAATGATTTTTCAGATGATGTAGCAAGTACGCTGTATACACTGTGGACGTTACAACCATTGATTGCAGAGGCAAACGTGTAGTTGAGGCTTTACAAAAACATGATACACAATTAAGGGCTTCAAAATGACTTACTACAAATCAGTTAACCCTATCATCAAATAAAAGTACAAAAATGTTCTGCACACTTTAAAATATGACTGTTCTAAGCAACTGCATCATGTCCGTGAAGTTTCTGGGAAAATGCTCAAACGGCAAGCTTATGGAGATTCAAAAACTTACAAAATTTGATGTTTTAACATTTATGTGTATTTATATTTTTGATAAATGTGCATAATGCAAAAAAAGAGGAAATATGAGTGGTGCATTAATTTTGTGTGTACTAAGTGTATTTCAGAACATACCAAGAACGTAATTTTTGTATCATTGAATTGAATTCTATGTGAAATTAAAAATGGTAATAACTATTTAAAGGGATACTAAATAATTTTATGGCTGCAGCACGTAGAATCCCGTGACATACTTTTAAAATAGCAGCATTTAACACTTGTATTTCGCTACAAAAGTGTCTTTTTAACATCGGTAAGTATTTTTATAAACGTGTATTGAGCGTGAATTAAAAAAGAAACAAACTGTGATGAACCAAAAAACTTTATATAGTTTGTAGTTATTGGGAGTTTGTTTCTTTGAAATAAATCTCAATATTTAGTTATTTCATTTCATTTTAGGCCGTAACAGGCACATATTCGTATGTGTCCAGGAAATTGAATTTGAGTTTTATAGCTATTAAGACAACTAGTGTTTTATAGACAGTTTAAAAATCAAGATCGTAGTTAAGTAGAGCGAGATTTTGAAACTATAAAACACGTGTTGGCTTCAAGATTTTTTCAAACACTAACAGTAATTCATCAACTCCTTTTTGATCAATTCATTACTACAAATTTTGACAAATCATTTGTGAAGCTTCATAGTATCATAGTAAGATTGCTGTGTATTGTAATTATGACAAGTAAACAAATTTTGAAAAAAACAATTTTCATCGTCAAAATGTGCGAAAACGTTCCGGAAGAAATTACGAAAAAGGGAAAAGAACTGCGAAGCAATTTGTTACCCTTAAAGTCAAAAAATGCATACGAGAAAGTATATGTTTCGTTCCAAGACTGGAAAAATAAAAACCGCATCAAGGAAGTAAGCGAAGATGTTATCTTGGCTTTTTTGGACATGAGAGTGAGTACATATTTAGTAAAATTCATAAAACTAAATTATTTAACAATTACAGTCGCAAAAGTTGTCACCTTGTTCTTTATGGCCAGAATATTCAATGTTAAAGGCCACTCTAAAGGCAAAAGAAAACATAGATATTGAAAAATTTGGTGCTGTTATTTCGTATATAAAAAAATTAAATATTGGTTATCGTGGCAAAAAATCCAACGTTCTGACACGAGAAGAAATCAAAACTTTCTTGCAAGAAGCTGATGACGGAGAATATTTATTCGAGAAGGTAAGAATTACTTAATAAGAAATATTTTTTATACATATGAAATCGTGTAGGTTGCTTTAATCTTTGGAATTGCCGGAGCTTGCACAAAGGCCGAATTGTGTGCTATGAGATTTGACGATATACAAGATTGTGGTAATGTTCTGAATATTGTTATACCTGACAGTAAAACCCACAAAGAAAGAAGATTCAGTGTAGTTAATGAAGGCTTTGGTGTTAATACCATTGATTTGTATGGATGTTATGTTGCTTTACGACCCATAAATTCACCATTGAGGTTTTTTTTACACTATTATAAATGTAAATGTACTCGCCAAAATGTAGGAATTAACACCTTTTGAAAAATTTCCAGAAAAATTGCAACTTTCCTCAAACTGGAAAATCCAGCTAAATACACAGGTCATTCTTTTCGCCGCAGTTCGGCAACTCTCCTGATTAACGCAGGTATTGTAATGATTACCTTTATTCTTCAAAGTAACTTTATATTCAATGCAGGCGGAGACATTACTTCGCTGAAGAGGCATGGCGGGTGGGAATCGACCAAGGTGGCAGAATCTTACATACAAGAATCTTTTGGAGAAAGAGTGAAAATTGCTCAAAAAGTCTTTGGAGATGAAAAGCTGGCACCGAATGAATTAGTTGACAATGAAATCGTTATGGACAAGCCCACGAACCTAAGTTACAGTGAAGCGTGTGGCAGTTCCAGTTCTAGCTTTAGTACTAGCAAGAACACCGCTCAAAATGTTTATTTTAATAATTGTACTTTTAACTTTGGTGATAATTATTGTAAAGATTCGAAATAAAAATCTTGAAATATGCGAAATCGTATTTTAAGAAGCTATAAGATACGTTGCCATTGACAGTTTAAGAGAACAACGTTATTTTAAATTAAAGTTAACATACGAGTTCTTATGAACCATAGAAACAGTATAAGATGTTACTTAAAATACGATTTCGCATATTTCAAGTTTTTTATTTCGAATCTTCAACGAAGTAATGTCTCCGCCTGCATTGAATATAAAATTACTTTGAAGAATAAAGGTAATCATTACAATACCTGCGTTAACCAGGAGAGTTGCCGAACTGCGGCAAAAAGAATGACCTGTGTATTTAGCTGGATTTTCCAGTTTGAGGAAAGTTGCAAATTTTCTGGGAATTTTTCCAAAGGTGTTAATTCCTACATTTTGGCGAGTACATTTACCTTTATAATAGTGTAAAAAAAAACCTCAGTGTTGAATTTCTGGGTCGTAAAGCAACATAACGTCGATACAAATTAATGGTATTAACACCAAAGCCGTCATTAACTACACTGAATCTTCTTTCTTTGTGGGTTTTACTGTCAGGTATAACAATATTCAGAACATTACCACAATCTTGTATATCGTCAAATCTCATAGCACATAATTCGGCCTTTCTGCAAGCTCCGGCAATTCCAAAGATTAAAGCAACCTACACGATTTCATATGTATAAAAATACTTCTTATTAAGTAATTTTTACCTTCTCGAATAAATATTCTCCGTCATCAGCTTCTTGCAAGAAAGTTTTGATTTCTTCTCGTGTCAGAACGTTGGATTTTTTGCCACGATAACCAACATTTAATTTTTTTATATACGAAATAACAGCACCAAATTTTTCAATATCTATGTTTTCTTTTGCCTTTAGAGTGGCCTTTAACATTGAATATTCTGGTCATAAAGAACAAGGTGACAATTTTTGCGACTGTAATTGTTAAATAATTTAGTTTTATGAATTTTACTAAATATGTACTCACTCTCATGTCCAAAAAAGCCAAGATAACATCTTCGGTTACTTCCTTGATGCGGTTTTTATTTTTCCAGTCTTGGAACGAAACATATACTTTCTCGTATGCATTTTTTGACTTTAAGGGTAACAAATTGCTTCGCAATTCTTTTCCCTTTTTCGCAATTTCTTCCGGAACGTTTCGCATATTTTGACGATGAAAATTGTTTTTTTCAAAATTTGTTTACTTGTCGTAGTTACAATACACAGCAATCTTACTATGATACTATGAAGCTTCACAAATGATTTGTCAAAATTTGTAGTAAGGAATTGATCAAAAAGGAGTTGATGAATTACTGTTAGTGTTTGAAAAAATCTTGAAGCCAACACGTGTTTTATAGTTTAAAAATCTCGCTCTATAAAATCCGAGCGACCGAAGGGACTACGATCTTGATTTTTAAACTGTCTATAAAACACTAGTAGTTGTCTTAATAGCTATTTCTCGCCACAGTGTGTAGTTTTGAATCAGTTCTGAATATACTGAATTCTGAGATACATTCAGAGTTGTTAAAACGTCTCATATTCTAAAGAGGAGGTGATTCGTGCAAATTTGTACCTACTTTTGGCAGTTTAGTTTTAGGGAAATTTGTCATAACTTTAGAAAATGTTAAAGTGGTGAAGTGGTTTTGAGACTTTTTAACGTTATAGATCACTAATTTGTGTAGTTAAATTGATAATTGTAGTACATTCAGAAGTTTTTTCAAGTTGTGCTATGGATGTACAAATACTGAAGAAACGGTAAAATTTGACTCAAAAATAAGTTATTTGTCTGATGGTTTCTAGTTTTGAAGTTGTTACTAATTATTATTATCATTATTAATATTATTATAGTTCGTTCGGGCAGAGGTAAATCTCTGTTATGCCCGCGTATGTACAACAAAATATAACAATCAGTATTGATCGAATATGAAGTTTAATCAATGGCTAGAAATCCATTTATCGTCGTTACCAAATTAATTTTGATACTTAAAAGAGACGAGCTCTTAATAATGACATAATCGGGTAGAGAATTCCAAAAATTGAAAACTCTATTAGACAAAAAATATTGTCGAGTTATGGATCGGAAGAAGTCTTTCTTTAGCTTATAACAGTGTCCTCGCGTTTTTGTTTCAATATTTAAAGCACAAATATGATTAATAGGAGATAAGTTAGTGCTAAAAATGTAGTTATTCACTTCTGAGGTGGCGGTATGCAACTGTTGATAAATTCATCAATGAAAGTCTTTGTTCAAAGGAGGATCGCCTAATACCAAAGGGTATACGTGTAATACGCCGTTGAACGCCTTCTAAAAGCTCCAGTCCGCACAGGGTACTATACACAGTTATCAAACTC